TAGATACGAATGTAAATCAAATATTCGAAACTCGTGCACTGCGAATGTATGAATAAATGAAATAGTTCTTTGATTGTCTAAGATAAAGATGAGTTTTTTTGGGAAACTTATTTGGATTCGATCATTTCATCGTATTTAATTGCTGATGCTGCGTTTCGCAACGTTTCAACGTTTCAATCAATGGAAGAAAACCGCTGCGTGTATTGCGCAATAATACAAGTAATGATAATTTGAATTTAATCGTTTTATCCCGGAGTAATGCGTGTTGAATAAGATATTTGATTGAATTGTGCTGGATGTGGATGTTGATGTTCAAAATTGGACATTTTACTGCGCTTACTGTCCGAGTACAAAGAAGTCAAACGCACTTAATGCGATTTTAATAGTCTCTGACAGACGTTTTTGGAAGTTGAATATTTTTTCATATTTTCTTATTATTTATTGTGCACACTTAACGAATTTTTGGAGATTTACGATGTACTTAAAATACTAGCTAATTTACAATCACAGCGATTAATTAATTCGTAGAAGTGGCGTAAATGTTGGATTTACAGCGGTATTAATTCACATTAACATCTCTAATTTGTTGTACGAAGTATAATTCATTAAAAATGAAGATGGTTGTTCTCGGAATCAAAGTTTTCGAATTTAATGCCTCTCGAGGCGCTGCAATGGAAAGAAAACGAACGCGCGCGCTGAACAGCGTCTCTCAACTCTGCTCTCAACTCTGCAGTCATCGCCGACGGCCATAACTGCTGAGGTAGTTTTATAAAGATCATGATCACGCAGCGCGCAGGTTGGAGAGCGCGCTCTCAGTTATTATCCCGCTTCTTGCATCTTCAACTTCAACTCGCGACTTTCCGTCCTGCAACTACTCGAGGAAGAGTTTCTTGCGGTGTGCCGCGGTCGTAATATAGCTGAGAGCGTTGTTATTACTTCTGCGCGCAGCACTACGCAACAAGAAGTATAAATTCACTTTGTTCGACACATAACGAGGAGGGCACAAAAACACGCACAAAAATTCGCCGGCTTTATGTAGCGCCATCTTGAAAAACGCACCTAACCTCAAACATTCGCTTGCTTTTTTTTTTGTATTCTTTGACATTCGGTATTATAACTTGGTCATTACCATAGCAATCCGTCTTTACTAGCGTGCGTACTTGCCCTTCGAGGCACGCTGACCGGCCAGCATGCCAACCAACCGGACTTTGAGAGTAAAAGTGTGTGGTGTATGCGAGCAGGTTTCCATCCATCGCATTGCCAGAAGGGCACGTATTTAAATTTTAATTGAAAACGAAATTAATGGAAAACTACAACAAACTTATACGCAGTTTTAGTTTTGTTTGACGACAAGAATGCGTAATTGTCGGGTGTGTACCTACATACATACATACATTAGCAGCAGATATAAATCCCACCTACGTTTTTTCCAACCTGCTGCGGACGCTGTTTTGCATTTAAATATACAAAAAGCGCAAAATGAGGAAATCGCGCACCCGAGGCTGCCGCGTTCCAACGATAATCGACTTGCAACACATCAAATATGACATAAAAGATCACAGCGGGCGAAAAATGAGGTTATGTACGACATGCAAGATGGCGCTGGGGAAAGATTCATGGCGTTTATTTGCATTCTTGTGCAGTATATATCAATAACAGTATTAAGATTAAGATTAAAGCGTCAATTAAGCGAGGTGCGCTTGCGCCGTTTGCGGAAATTGAGCAGCAAGGCATGCACGATGCGATTCGTTTCGTTCTGCTGCGACTTAAACAAATTGAAGAAACAAGAGACGATCCTGCGGTTAAGCAGCGCGCTGTGCACGCTTTTCAATTTGTTGCGGCGTCACATCTATATTACAAACTTTACAAATTTCATTTGCCCTTTCATTTTAGATTAGGTTACAAGGTTAGGTATTAGGTATACCGGTTTAATATAATACCGGTATTGAACTCAAAATTCACATCTTTAGTTCCCTACATCTAAAATCAAATAGAACATGTTTCGTAAAAATGAATATTTGGCTCCTAGCTGAGTTGGAAAAGTGCTTCATCATTTTTATTTGAATTGCGCAATCCACACTGCATCCGACAGTTGTTGTAGATGTGCTAGACATTCGAGTGGTCTCCTGCATCTTCAGCTCAAGTTGTTTTCGTTGAAAGCAATAGCTGCAGATGGTCGATAGTCGTATTTATCAATTTTGATCAGGCACCAAGCAGCAAGGGTCAGAATATTATTCATAATAAATTCAAAATGAATGAGGTTACGTGAGAAAGTACCAAAAAGTTGTGTTTTAAATCATGTAGACTGTGTAATAAGCAAATTATGCAAATATAATTTCGTTTCTTATGAGCTATGCGTAGGTAGTGGTTTTAAGAGAAATTCCAAAGTGTAGGTAGTTTAATCAAACATAATAATCAATCGATTTCCGATCGTCGTCTGGTCATCGGTGAGTAAACACTCGAGAAGAAGCCATTTGTTATTTTTAATGTTGTATAATTAGACAGATATCTAATTACACACGTCTGAGCCTCCAAAGCTCACTTATCCTCAATGGGTGAATAGGCTTGATGAAAAATGATGTGGATAAAGAATAGATAATACGATGACATTTAAATATTAAACAATCCTCGTTACTTGCTTTTCGTTAATTGAAAGCTTTCAACAGGATCATCAATAAAAATAAAGACATTAATAATAAAACTTTTTATCGAAATTTCAGAATATTTTTTATTTAAATTGAAAAAATCAAGAAAAAATTGCCGCTGCTAATGAATGTAATTAGTCAATGGGAAAAAATCTTCTCGGGAATTCTTCAGCGTTTTGATCAGTAATGTTGTGTGATATTCTTTGATTTCGTGATTAGATTTGGAACATTCTCGCCGGATTCGAGACAACAAACACGAACGAATCTTATTAAAACTATAACGAGCATTCTTTCTGTTTGATGTGAAAACGCCGCGCGACATGCGCTTGAAACGTGTTTCGTTTGTCGAGTTGTCGACTAATGTGATAAATTCATCAGGTGGAATGTGTTCTCCGCGTGCCGCTTCTAATGGAAACCGATTTTCCATTAATGTTGGACATTTATCAAAAAGTTTTGAATTTTATTGATTTTTTAAAGTTTTTGTTACTTTCTACACATATGGCTAAAGTTTTAATGATGAATTTATTATTAATTTGAGTAGTAGGTATATTTCCACTGGTGCATCTGGATGAAGTGGAGGGGGAAGGTTCTAGAACCTGTGAGAATATACTACTAACTTAATTGATTTTAAATTTTTAATTTTAGTAAATTTTTCAATTGTTTCTTTTTACACTTGATCAAACTTTTAACGGTGAACTTAAGAAAAATATGATTATAACACGAATCTAACCTCAATATTAGATTGTTCATTGTTCATATACTGACGGATGTTTTAATGAAGTGAGAAGTGGGAATTTGCACATATATTGATTCGCATAAAATGAATGGGAAAAATCATAACGGCGCGAATAAATGTGATAAATGTCCATCATTCTCCGCCACAGCTCGCGCGCCGCCTGCATGTACAGTTATTATTGCGCATGCAATACAACATGCAGAATCCATGTGATATAGTTATGACAACACATCGAGTAGCAGTTACATGCCAAACAGAACAAACGGCTAATCTATCTACTGCATAGATATTCTCGTATTATGCTGATAAAGTGATTGGATAACTGCAAATCGGCCATTTTGAAACAGATACATATCATTTTTACGTTTACAGTTGTGCGTTAACATTATAATATCGCTAATAATAAGATATTATCTATTGTTATGTCGCGCGCAAAAAATAATTCATAGCTGCATAGAAACAAAAGATGCATTGTTGCAGCGCAGCGCCATTTTGTGTTGTGTGTGCGCATGAACTTGACTTAAGTATGGTTTACGCATACATTATGCGCCGCTCTCGCTAAGCATGTTTGTTCTTCGAATTTTTTCCACCAACAACGCGCTTCTGTTTAATATTCAAATGAAGCTACCTGAACAAACTTGACTCAAACTTTAAGTCTACTTGTAATTCACTCGAAACAACCGAAACTAGTCGTAGGTATGTGGTACAACTAGCTCGGAATATTAATAATGTTTGAGGTTATGTTTCGTTGGTGGGGTGACACTTATTTATGCGCAAGACGATAAAATATGAATCGGTCCTTATCGCATTTTATCGGATTCTGCACGGCTGGACTCTCACTCTCGGCGGCGGCGCGGTGCGCGTAAAAGTCCCTAAGTGGTGCTACATTATACTGGTTTATGGGCCCACATTGTGTCGATATTGTGCCTGCGTACGCCTATCCTAAAATATTGACGTCGAACGTATGCAACGCATTCCTCAAGTTTAACTGCGACCACAATTCGACCAGCTCTGAATTCAGGTTATGTTGTTTGTATGTTATTATGACCAGATGTGATTTGTGCGCGGTGTACGTGGCTTTTTCTAAGCGCATTTGTAGTCCTCGGAGACGCGTCGACCCCGAAGGGCAATTGAACTTGCCCGATCCGAACGCATTAACATTTTGCGGCTTTAACAACGCACTTGAAGCGTTTGTTGGTTGAAGAAGAAAACAAAAAACTAGTTAGTGTTATTACAATCACAAGTCAAACATGACTAAGGTACGAGGTACAAGCCTTTTTTAAAAAACTTGAATCAGAAAAGTTAAAAAATTACTCAAAATTGTTTGACCTCTGGAGTAAAGGATGTAATAATTAGAAATTAATTGTTTACAATTATTGCAAGCATTTGTTACGCATTGTACTAGTCTGTGTGGAAAAAAAGAATGTCCTAAGTATGTTAAATGTTTGTCGCGCAAAGACAAGCCACTAATTCAAAGCGATGTTTATTATTAACGCGCCGCCATAAATATCGTACACACGTGTACACGACACGACGTCGTTAAAGTTATGTCCGCGGCTCGACCGGCTCGCGAAACATCGTCCGACTCTATCGATAGAAAGAAATAAGTGTGTGTTGGTGCGTGTTTGTGCCATACCGGCCCGGCCGTGGCCGCCTAGCAAGAAAAACCAAAGGTATTTGGTAACTGGTGGACGAAACCATCCGTTCTGATCATGACAATTGCGGAAATACGGTAACAGTAAGGCACGGTACCGTTTATTGATATCAAAACGTACATTTGCTTAACGGATTCATTTGGCTGCCCCTTTTGCACTTGAAATCGGCAGCAAAACGCTGGGATTTTCGTAATGTGGAAAATATCCGAAACGAAGCGACGCCATGAACATCCGGTGTCGGGTGTGGGTGCAGTACGTGCGCGGCTTCCTGTGGATCGCAATAGTAGCGCGCGAAACTGATCCAGAACAATTGTCGTGGAGTGTAGTTTGTGACAGCTGGCAGATGGAGATTATCGGTGAGTTTGGCTGGTTCCAAACGGCGGTACACTTCGTAGGCCGAATGGGTACCGATGATGTCCGCCATGTTTTCATCCAATGTAACGGAACCGTTTAACTGAAAAATCGCAGCTCAAAATTTATCTATGAGATATTATGATGTCGTAAATCTAACCTCAACTCGATATTTATCCATTGCATACGCTTCATACTCTTCTGCTAGACATTTATGATGATTTGTGTAATTGTCTATGAGTTCGTTGGTCCACAATGGGTTGGGTTGACCATGCTGACCATATTTTTGCGCGAACAACGAGAAAATGTGGGAGAGTTCATGACCGATTAGGTGGCCTAGTCGGGAGTAGTTTATGTAATCAGGCAGTGTGTTGGAGTATAATTGATGAATTAATCCGGTTGGTATTCCTAAAATTTTGGTAAATTAATTGAATTTTAAGTAATGTTTACTGACCGATATAATTGTTGGATAAGTAGAATGCATTTGCAGATGCGTCCATTTCCAACAATCCTATTTGGGTAGATTCTAAAGTTGTTTTATTGTACAAAATATCATAATGGTAAGAGTCTGTTAGTGGCTTTAGGCTCAAGATTGCAGAAATGTAGTTTTTGGTTTTACTTAAATCCTAAAACCGAAAAATTTCTAGTTTGAGCGGGAAACATAGAAAATAATGAATTAATCTTACATTTTGACCATAATCTATATGAAATTCACTCCCATCTAATTTTCCACCAATGAAAAATTTCATACTCCTTAATTTCTCCTCTAAAAATATTTTCATTTCATCATCTACCCATTTTACTTTTCTTATTTTGGTATTAATTTCTTCTCTGATTGCAATTATCATTTTTTTCACTTGCTCTCTATGTGGATTCGTCTCGGCTAGTTTTTGATTGGCAATTAATGGCATTCTATAAATTTAACAATTTTCTACTGCATAATTTTAAAATCAAAATAAAATTTACATTTTGTTCACTTCGTCAATGCATAAATGTCGTCGTTGACCCAAAGTAACTTTGGGTGCATTCGGGACGTTGTACCACAGCTGCATATCCTTCAGTACTTCCCAAATTATGTAATTCACTAACACTCTATTATAACAACAGAAAACGTCAACAATAATAAAAATTAGTTTGTTAAATGTATAAGTATTTTACGCACCTTCTCGGCGTTTGCTTCAAGAGTCCTTGTAGTTCCCGAATGTATTCTTGCATAGAGGTATCAAAAATAATAAATTCGGAAGTATTAAAATCGCGTCGCATTGTTAGAACAGCGAGTATGTGTGCCCAATTGATTTGCGAGGCTTGTGTTACACTCATTACCTCTCCTATTGTAATTAATTTTGGTTCTGCTTTGGTTGCGTTTTCATATTTGCTCAAAATCTTAAAATTTAATGAATTTCTTTCCATCGTCAGCAATTATTATACTTACTTTGATCAATTCCAGAGTAAAATCTCCTAAATAATTAATATCATAACCATTTTTGGTCCTATCACCCCCGAAAGTTTCTAGGGTCCTATACAAAAATGCTTCATTTTCCTTCCGAAACTCTTTACTCATCGCCGCTTCTCCTAAACTTGGCGGTGTGACCATTAAATAATTCTTCCCATCTGTATAATTTCTATACGACCGCAATCCAAAAAACATATCACTTCGAAATCCCATCGTTTGCAGTTTACTTATAAAATTGAACCATACCCAGTTGAAATTCAAAGCTCCCGAATGGCCCGAGAACGCTTCATCCCAATTATTGCTAATTAGTGGCCAGCCGCCGAGCGGCGCAATCAACTCGCGCTTTAAAAGCTCGACGCCTTCGTCGATGGCGCTACGGTTCATGCACGTGCGGTACAAGTAGCGCAGATTTGCAACTCCGATATCGTTTGCTTCTGATTCCAAGGCAGAAGCATCGAAGACCCGCTCGAACTCTCTGCGCGCTGAAATTTCGCTCTGTACCAGCTCGGATACAGTGGCGTTCGGGTTGCTCCCGGCGAAGAAGTTTCCGCATGCGAAGCGGGCGAAATTATGGCAGGGATCTGCTTCAGCGTCGATTGCATTCAGGAATTTTGAGGCAGTTTGCACGCAATCGGCGGACATGCAAACGGGAGCTTGGTTTCCACCTAGAGACAATAGCTACTTAACTTAAGCTACTTAAGACCATTAAGTGTAAAATGCAGTTTACACAGTTGTTTTTTTCTGTTAGGTGTATGTACTTACTGGTGATGTGAGTAAAGAACGCGTACGTCATGATGGCAAATAATGTCAGAGACATTGCGATGACGATGATTAGAAGTTTTCTTTCCAGACGCGTTCGAAATTGCCACCATTCGCTGGCAGTTTCTGGCCGCTCTGGTTTATCATTGCATTGTTGTTGCTCATCCATGTTATTTCACCGTAGAATGCACTTTTTCCCTTGTTCACATACGAAACAAAAACCGGTGCGCACTTTTAAACAAAGCGCGTTTACCGCACAACGTAGCGTCGACGTGACTTTGCTACTGCGACTGGAAAACTTAATTTCGCTGGTTCTTTGGTCGGTTTTCAGTTGTCTTTAATTAGTTCCCATCAGCGCGGCTCTTTACTTACGTAATCGTTTAACGCTAACACGCTAAGAACAAAGCAGCTGGATGGGTTTTAATCACATGTTTCGAGTATGTTGAGTTAAAATTAATTTTAATTGTTGCAGACAAGTGAGCCGAACGTTCGCGTGGCCGGAGAGTGACATGTCTGCCAACGATGGAGGCGTACAGCCGCCGTCCATCTCACCGCCGGCATTACCATCGCCTGGGGGTAAACTACCATCGCTGGAGCCGGCGGATCGACTGCTCGGCAAAGGTTCACCTTTTGCGCAGTCAAATGATCCACAACGGCATTCGCAGTCGGATGATGATTCCGGCTGCGCATTGGAGGAATACACGTGGGTACCTCCCGGATTAAGACCTGATCAGGTGAGACTTAGCATATCGATTTGTTGTGTTTATGTTAGAAAACCAACGTTAAATTCTATGCGGTATAAATTCTTCCCTTTGAGTTTATTTATCGCCCGATTTCTATTTGCACGAATAAAGCGGGTTTGGTACGGAAGGCGGAATGGCGACGGCGCCTAAAAGGGCTCGTAAATACCGCCCGAGGCAATAATCGTAACGAGGCACTTAACTCGGCCCGAGGGAATGCCCCGTTGAGCGAGATTCCTTTGTTTTTGGACCGCTCACTTCTTGGCGTGTTTACGCTTGTTTTCGACATTCTTCTCGAAGCCGAAAATGATTAAAACTATGACTTGCACTACTCAGAAAGCATCTTGATTGATTATCTCCACGTTTAACGATGACATTCATAATTTTTTTATTATTGGATTTAATTATTAATTTACCTACGGGAAGAATTAATTTGGTTGGTGTTATCAACAGGTGCATTTATACTTTTCGGCGTTGCCGGAAGAGAAGGTACCCTACGTGAATAGCGTTGGGGAGCGTTATCGCGTGCGGCAGCTTTTGCAACAGTTGCCGCCCCATGACAACGAGGTGCGGTACTGCCACGCTCTCAGTGATGAGGAACGCAAAGAATTGCGATTATTTTCGGCGCAGAGGAAACGTGAGGCGCTGGGACGTGGTACGGTCCGACAACTTCAAACTCCTATGGCTTGTGATGCAGTAAGTTGAAGAAATTGTAATTGTTGGTGGGTTTGACATGAATTTTGTGTCTTTTAGTGTGAGGAATCATTGTCTACCGGAGATATTTGCGTGTTTGCTTCACGATGCGGTCCAAATGTTTGCTGGCATCCTGGATGTTTCTGTTGCTGTGTATGTCGAGAACTTCTGGTTGATCTTATCTACTTCTACAAGGAGGGACGACTTTACTGCGGCCGCCATCATGCCGAAACAATCAAACCGCGATGTTCTGCTTGTGATGAGGTATTAATTACTGTTTTGTTTATAAATATTGATTCTAAAGTTAATTTTTCGTAGATTATTCTTGCCGATGAATGCACTGAAGCAGAAGGACGTGCCTGGCATATGAAACACTTTGCTTGTTCCGAATGCGAGCGTCAATTGGGTGGCCAGCGTTATATTATGCGTGATGGCCGCCCTTATTGTCTCCACTGCTTTGACGCCATGTTTGCTGAGTACTGTGACTCTTGCGGCGAGCCAATTGGTGTCGATCAGGGACAGATGAGCCACGAAGGTCAACATTGGCATGCAACTGAATGTTGCTTTTGTTGTCACACGTGCCGCACATCACTTCTCGGGAGGCCATTTTTGCCGCGACGTGGCGCTATCTATTGTTCGATAGCATGCAGCAAAGGGGAACCGCCGACGCCATCAGACAGTTCAGGACCCAATTCGCGCGTTCCACGACAACCATTCAAAAGCAAGACACCACGCGCGCCTAGTCCTAATGGATCAAGTTCACCACCACCTTCGCCAAGTAGGAGACATCCTGGATCTCCCGCCATGTCTTCGCCATCTTCGCCGCCAAGTATGCTGCATGGGCAGTACTCGAAGCAGAATAGCCTGCCACGTTCACCGAAAATGGGCAGACGTGCATTGCAACGTTCACCAAAGACTGTACCCGAAACACCGGAGGAAGCGCCTTCAAGTCCCAAGGGCTTGGACAGGGTTTTATTAGAAAGAAATTTAGAACGCCTAATATCTGAAAGAGGCCCTACTCCTGACCTGGAAAAGTTATTACATGCTAGGGACAGGAGTAGAGAACCACTGCATCTTGCTGATTTGAGCTTGGATGATTGGCAACCGACAATGCTTACAGATAATACAAACGAGAGTAAAACGAAAGACGAAAGCAATACAAATACTAATTCTTCAGAAACGAATGCAAATAACGAAAATGAAAATGAGAGCGTTAACGACAGCGAAACTCATGAACGTCACGCATCTTCCATGCCAGAGTTGCCTACCGCTGCGGCAACTACTTCCAGTGCAACCACTTCCACTGCTAACACCCCTAGCTCTCCTTCAAAGCGCAGCAAAGCTTTGCTGAGTGTACGCTTTCAGGGGGATAACGAAGGTTTTGAAATCGACGAGGCAGACACCGCATCAGTGGAGGCGAAGAAATTCCCCCGCAGTCGTTCATACGCGGGTCGATCCAAGCATTGCGACACCCTCGACCGCCACTCGCAACACCGCCCCCGCAAGACCAATTCGGAAAGTCAAATGACGGCGAGTACAAGTCGCGCAAGTCGTGAAAGTCGTGACCACGACGACGACTACTGCTCAACATGTTCCTCAAGTTCGTCCAGCGACGACCTAGATTATCAATTGCCTCCTCGAAGGGCTTATGGTGGCGTGCGCATCAGTTACGTTCCTAACGACGCAGTTGCGTGTGCGCGACGGCGGCAAGCTGGCCATAAATCGCCAGGCAGCAAAAAGAATCAAAATATCGACGAGCGCGACAAGAATTGTATAATATCGTAATCTTATTCCTGAATACTACCTTGAACTGTACAAATTGAAGGAGGATATTTGAAACATAATCATTTTTATACGAATTTTGTTATTGAATTGTGTAGTTATATTGTAATATTTATTAAGCATATCTTGACAACGCGATACAATTGTAAATATGAGTAATATGTAAATAATGAGAACATAGCAATCACTAACAATGATAGGACAATATTGAGACTTCATTGTGTTCTTGTAATTTTGTACTAAACATTTAGAAATAGTTATCGACTACTGAGTTAATCTCTTCTCTGTTTTATTCAAGTGAATCTCGTTATTTTAAAAATTCATATGTTTGCCACTTGATTATTTATGAAAATAAAGGAAGTGCTATAAATAATCAGTCAAGGTTCTACGCGTAACCGCATTATGGGGCTTTTGGTGCTAGTGATGTTTTTAAAAAGTTACCATTTTTGGTAGAGGGGTTGTAGATAGATCTACCTGGATCTACCTATATTCTCGATGCACCAGTCGTGTTAGTCCCGCCGGTGTGACCGCACGCGTTCCTCTTGCAAGCCTCGTGTGTGTCCTTGGTTGAAGTTCGGTGTCCATCGATATTGCTAATAAGAAATACGTATCGGTTTTTGTGTTGTGAATTCGTGATGCGGTGCACTCTACCTCTGGAAAATTGGATTTGTTCAACCGTCACAATGCAGCATCTACGGCATGTACTTGCGGCAAACTGCGGGGGACGATAGTTGTAGTTTGCCGTCGTTTCACTGGTAGTGAAATAGTGAATAGTGAAATTAGTCAGTATATACAATAGAATTCTTATCGTCTTTGCTCCACGCGTTTATCAATGTTAGTGTAAAGACAAGTTTCATATTGCGTTCAAATCTTGCATTATCAGTTTGTTGCAGTCTACACAGGCTACAAAAATTAAATGAATCATTTATTAAATACTGGTTTGTTTCGTGTATGGCTTTCGTTGTTTTCAATTTCATTGCAATATCAATTTTGTTGCTTATTTGATAAATGTGTTTTGATTATTTTTAAGTTGATAAATATTTTCAAAGGTTAGATGGCGCTACGATGTACGGTTTTGCATTAAACATTGCTTGTTGGTGGTAGTGAGTGCACACTGTGTCCGTGTGGATCACGCGATTTCGCGCAAGAGATAAGTTTGTTTACCTGCAGGTATCGAATCTTTATTTCGTGGAATCAAAACACACCGTTGCTGTTTATTATATTAGTATCGTACATAGTAAATATTCTTCAATTCTTTCATGAATATAACTAACAATTTTATATTATTCTAATAAATTTTTATTATCAGCAGATGATTACGGACTAATGTGTTACCTGGTAAACGAGAAACGATACATGTTCAAATTAATTATCACTTAAATATTTAATGTAAAATCTGGCAATCTGTCAGCATAAGAAATCAGAATTACTCAAATCGAATTTTAATTTTTTATTACCTTTACTAATCTAAATTTCGAAACTACTGTATCATTTATAGATGGCAATAGCATGGACTAAAAATTGTAAAATAAACTTGTATTGTTTATTTCTATATTTATCAGCAAGCGTGAACCTTCGACACAAGAATTGTGTTTGTTTGAACACAATATACCCATTCTTATCGCATTGCCGTGTGTCGTCGTTGCCAGCACCTCACGCCGCATGTTGCTGCATCTTAGTTTAGTTTTGATCCCAGGTAAAGTGCCAAATGCAATTCGCGCACATGGTCGCATGCCATCGACGCGCCGGCCTTGCGCATTTCTTGCTTTCTTATCATAAACTGCCTCGTCGTTGCTTATACAGTTTGCGGTCAGTTTCGTGCCGGTCTCTAGTTAATCCAGACGTATTTTGTGCGACTCGTATCGTTTATCCGGACTTCTACTTTCCAATTTGTATTACATTCGATCATCAATCGACTATTTCATTTTAACTTGACTTTAGTAACTTTAGTACTGTTATTTATTATTTGCGCGTAAGTGTATCGGGGCCATGTTGATTTATTCATCATTTGGATGACCCATCTTGTTGCTGTAAGTATTTTTTTAACTAAACCGCACAGATTGTTGTTTTTCTCCGCTGTGTGAATATAATATTACTTATGTTTTCTTTTTTTTTAATACAGTATTTGCCGTGCTTTGGAGTCTGATGAGTTCTGCATTAGTAAGTTTTTAAGAATTTAAGTCTGCATCCCCCGGTATCGAAATTTATTGCAAGAAAATTCCGTAACGTGAGTTATAATGAAAATTGTGCTTGCGTCGTAGTACTCGTTGCGCTAGGAATTGTAGTTTTTTTGTTATAACGCGCGAACGCGGTGTCACAATTAGTTCAAATTGATTTTTCCAGATGCAGAATTTAATTCTGCATCTCCCAGTATAAAAATGTTTTGCCAGAAAATTCCGTAACGCGAGTTATAATGAAATTTGTGTTTGCGCCGTAGTACTCGGTGCGCTAGGTATTGTAGTTTTTTTGTCATAACACGCGAACGCGGTGTCACAATTAGTTTGGATTGATTTTCCCAGATGCAATATAAAATTCTGCACCTCCCTATATTAAACCTTTTGGCCAGAAAATTCCGTAACGCGAGTTATAATGAAATTTGTGTTTGCGCCGTAGTACTCGTTGCGCTAGGAATTGTAGTTTTTTTTTTATAACACGCGAACGCGGTGTCAAAATTAGTTTGGATTGAATTTCGCAGATGCAGAATTTAATTCTGCATCTCCCAGTATAAAAATGTTTTGCCAGAAAATTAAGTAACGCGAGTTATAATGAAATTTGTGTTTGCGCCGTAGTACTCGGTGCGCTAGGAATTGTAGTTTTTTGTCATAACACGCGAACGCGGTGTCAAAATTTGTTTGGATTGAATATCGCAGAAGCAGAATTTAATTCTGCATCTCCCAGTATTAAAATGTTTTCCAGAAAATTCCGTAACGCGAGTTATAATGAAATTTGTGTTTGCGCCGTAGTACTCGGTGCGCTAGGAATTGTAGTTTTTTTGTCATAACACGCGAACACGGCGTCACAATAAGTTCGGAATCAATCCCAGATGCGGAATTTAATTCTGCATCTCCCAGTCTAAAAATGTTTTGCCAGAAAATTCCGTAACGCGAGTTATAATGAAATTTGTGTTTGTGCCGTAGTACTCGGTGCGCTAGGAATTGTAGTTTTTTTGTCATAACACGCGAACGCGGTGTCAAAATTAGTTTGGATTGAATTTCGCAGATGCAGAATTTAATTCTGCATCTCCCAGTATAAAAATGTTTTGCCAGAAAATTAAGTAACGCGAGTTATAATGAAATTTGTGTTTGCGCCGTAGTACTCGGTGCGCTAGGAATTGTAGTTTTTTGTCATAACACGCGAACGCGGTGTCAAAATTTGTTTGGATTGAATATCGCAGAAGCAGAATTTAATTCTGCATCTCCCAGTATTAAAATGTTTTCCAGAAAATTCCGTAACGCGAGTTATAATGAAATTTGTGTTTGCGCCGTAGTACTCGGTGCGCTAGGAATTGTAGTTTTTTTGTCATAACACGCGAACACGGCGTCACAATAAGTTCGGAATCAATCCCAGATGCGGAATTTAATTCTGCATCTCCCAGTCTAAAAATGTTTTGCCAGAAAATTCCGTAACGCGAGTTATAATGAAATTTGTGTTTGTGCCGTAGTACTCGGTGCGCTAGGAATTGTAGTTTTTTTGTCATAACACGCGAACGCGGTGTCAAAATTAGTTTGGATTGAATTTCGCAGATGCAGAATTTAATTCTGCATCTCCCAGTATAAAAATGTTTTGCCAGAAAATTCCGTAACGCGAGTTATAATGAAATTTGTGTTTGCGCCGTAGTACTCTGTGCGCTAGGAATTGTAGTTTTTTTGACATAACACGCGAACGCGGTGTCAAAATTAGTTTGGATTGAATTTCGCAGATGCAGAATTTAATTCTGCATCTCCCAGTATAAAAATGTTTTGCCAGAAAATTCCGTAACGCGAGTTATAATGAAATTTGTGTTTGCGCCGTAGTACTCGGTGCGCTAGGAATTGTAGTTTTTTTGACATAACACGCGAACGCGGTGTCAAAATTAGTTTGGATTGAATTTCGCAGATGCAGAATTTAATTCTGCATCTCCCAGTATAAAAATGTTTTGCCAGAAAATTCCGTAACGCGAGTTATAATGAAATTTGTGTTTGTGCCGTAGTACTCGGTGCGCTAGGAATTGTAGTTTTTTTGTCATAACAAGCGAACGCGGTGTCACAATTAGTTTGGATTGAATTTCCCAGATGTAGAATTTAATTCTGCATCGCCCAGTATAAAAATGTTTTGCCACAAAGTTCCGTAACGCGAATTATAACGAAAGTTGTGTTTGCGTCGTAGTACTCGTTGCGTTAAGAATTGTAGTTTTTTTGTTATAACACGCGAACGCGGTGTCAAAATTAGTTTGGATTAATTTTCCCATACGCAGAATTTAATTCTGCATCTCCCAGTATAAAAATGTTTTGCCAGAAAATTCCGTAACGCGAGTTATAATGAAATTTGTGTTGGCGCCGTAGTACTCGGTGCGCTAGGAATTGTAGTTTTTTTGTCATAACACGCGAACGCGGTGTCAAAATTAGTTTGAATTGAATTTCGCAGATGCAGAATTTAATTCTGCATCTCCCAGTATAAAAATGTTTTGCCTGAAAATTCCGTAACGCGAGTTATAATGAAATTTGTGTTTGCGCCGTAGGTCTCGGTGCGCTAGGAATTGTAGTTTTTTTGTCATAACACGCGAACGCGGTGTCAAAATTAGTTTGAATTGAATGTCGTAGATGCAGAATTTAATTCTGCATCTCCCAGTATAAAAATGTTTTGCCTGAAAGTTCCGTAACGCGAGTTATAATGAAATTTGTGTTTGCGCCGTAGGTCTCGGTGCGCTAGGAATTGTAGTTTTTTTGTCATAACACGCGAACGCGGTGTCAAAATTAGTTTGAATTGAATGTCGTAGATGCAGAATTTAATTCTGCATCTCCCAGTATAAAAATGTTTTGCCTGAAAATTCCGTAACGCGAGTTATAATGAAATTTGTGTTTGCGCCGTAGTACTCGGTGCGCTAGGAATTGTAGTTTTTTTGTCATAACACGCGAACGCGGTGTCAAAATTAGTTTGAATTGAATTTCGCAGATGCAGAATTTAATTCTGCATCTCCCAGTATAAAAATGTTTTGCCTGAAAATTCCGTAACGCGAGTTATAATGAAATTTGTGTTTGCGCCGTAGGTCTCGGTGCGCTAGGAATTGTAGTTTTTTTGTCATAACACGCGAACGCGGTGTCAAAATTAGTTTGAATTGAATGTCGTAGATGCAGAATTTAATTCTGCATCTCCCAGTATAAAAATGTTTTGCCTGAAAATTCCGTAACGCGAGTTATAATGAAATTTGTGTTTGCGCCGTAGGTCTCGGTGCGCTAGGAATTGTAGTTTTTTTGTCATAACACGCGAACGCGGTGTCAAAATTAGTTTGAATTGAATGTCGTAGATGCAGAATTTAATTCTGCATCTCCCAGTATAAAAATGTTTTGCCAGAAAATTCCGTAACGCGAGTTATAATGAAATTTGTGTTTGCGCCGTAGTACTCGGTGCGCTAGGAATTGTAGTTTTTTTGTCACAACACGCGAACGCGGTGTCAAAATTAGTTTGAATTGAATTTCGTAGATGCAGAATTTAATTCTGCATCTCCCAGTATAAAAATGTTTTGCCTGAAAATTCCGTAACGCGAGTTATAACGAAATTTGTGTTTGCGCCGTAGTACTCGTTGCGCTACCAATTGTGGTTTTTTTGTGATAACACGCGAACACGGCGTCACAATAAGTTCGGAATCAATCCCAGATGCGGAATTTAATTCTGCATCCCCCTGTATTAAAGCTTTTGGTCAGAAAATTCCGTAACGCTAGTTATATTGAAAGTTGTGTGTGTGAATAAGAGGGTACGTTCAGAATATTAAGTCTTTCCATTGTATTGAACTGTATCCACAGCATGAATAGTTTATACTCGTAGTTCGCAATCTTGGCTCTTATCGGTGTTAGTGCACAAACAACTTGTTTTTATTGCGTTGCAGCGCATTCGATGCGCTCAGCAGTGTTTGTTCCATTTCTTACTTAGTCGATCATGCACTGCAGCGTAGTGTGCACGCGTTTATTTGCGGGGCGGTTTTCATGGCGACTTATCGCGTTTCTTGTGATTTTAAGTCGGTAGTTGAATTATAATCACTCACCAAAGATAAGATTTAGAATTAACAGACAAGTGCGGCCTATTGTTAATGAGTTAATGAGTGGAACCATGAATTTCGTGGTTTTACAACGTACGCACCACGTGTTTCCGTCGGCCGTCGGATATCTTCCGTCGGCTAAGAAATACTCAGGCTTGTTTTGTGTATCCATTTAATTATTAATTTGAATAAGCATCATTTGGGCATCGTATGGAATATTTCATCTGCGAAAACGTAAAAAAGTATGTAACATAAAAACTATATTCTATTACAATTACCAACAATATAAGGAAAAACGATCAGAAAAATTAGTT